TTAGGATCACTAAAGCCTCTCCCTGTGAGCTATAACAATAACTAATAAATCAAAAGATACACACCGGTTTTCAGGTGATAATATATTGTTATAGGTTACATTATGTGACACAGTTGGCTTGGTTGTGATTTATGCTCTCAGTCTTTTGGTGACTGATAAAGTAAACACTGTTTAACTGTAAAGTTACGTTTATTTTACAGTGTTTAGCGTACAGTGTAAACATTAAATTTGAGACATGATATAAAGAGGATGATAATATGTTTATTGATCCACAACATTAGACATTCTGCACTAAATTATGCAGGGTGTTTATTCCCTGGTATCAATGGTAGCCTCTTTAATGTGTAGGAAGCTGTAAAGAATAGGTTTAGTATGTTGACACGTGCCATTATACTAGTGGCATCTACGTGGGTTATTATATCGTTGGATTCAAGAAGTCAATTTGTAGAATTGTAGATGTCACTGTTATACATGTTATAGCTTCAAGATCGGTCTACTTTATAGACGCATAGTCTGACATATCAAAAGTGTCTTGTATTTACATGATGCATTATTCCCTTGTTAAATTTTTGTGTACTTTTTTTAAAGAAATAAACAAAAAATTAAAAAAAAAAAAAAAAAGTTTTCTGTCGAAAATGTGACACATAGATTTATCCACAGGTGCTATTTTCTTTTTTCTTTATTATAGCGATTCACCTGCTGAAAAAGTTGCCCCAAGCGCGGCATATAATCACTGCGATGAATCATAAAATATCTGCCTTCAGTGCAATTTTGAGCCGAACTATTTTGTTGGCGAGACCAAATTACCATCTTCAAATAGTTAAGAAAATAGCCTAACCTCTTTGTCTCGGCTTTCTTCTTCGTCTTCACTTCCTCTTTTACCACTTAGTTGTTTCAAAGGGAATAAAAGATTCTGAATAATGCCTTTATAGCTGAACAGCCTACAGACATGTCGTGTTACTGTAGAGTTTGATGATGTAGGTTTTTTTAAATTTCAGAACCAACTAACAGACATTAAATAGCTTTATTGAAAAAAGCGTTAGAAAATAAATACGTACAGCAATAAATTTGGATAAAAAATACACAAGATCCGTTATTATTATTGTTCTCTTCGTTAGACATAAAATGTATGCCGATTAAATAATAACTACATAATAATTTGACTGCTCAAGCACTCAGAAAACAGGAATTAAAAGTTGAATTCTTTATTTCTCTAAGAAAGTGACTCGGCATTATCTTCTTCTTCTTCTTGTGTGTTTTTTTCTTCTTCTTTAGCACTCCCAGGCCATGAGATGAATTGCTTGAGTTTAAACCGAATCCATGTATCTCCCTGACAGACATTCTTTTTCCTGTTGGCGAAACCACGAATGTGAAGTCTGCCTAAACGCTATCTCTTCGTCTTCTGTTGTGAATTTAGATTAGGAAATAAGAAGACAATCACCAGAAGAAAACTGAAAAAGAGACCATTAAAATATTTCGGGCACGTTGAAAGAAATAAACATATTTCAAAAAGGATACTGGTTGTACAATCGGAAGAAGACGATGCAGAAGATTGGACACCATTAAGAGGTAGTCGAACATCAGACTAAGAGAATTTACTACCATGGCAAAATACAGGGTATTTTCGGGATCCCCTGCAACCAACTTTCAGTGTGGAGACGTTACCTGACTGATTGACTGATCAATCAAATCATTAAAATCATTATGTAGCAAGTCATTTGCAGAAGGTTGCTCTAATAACAGCCTGCCGGAAAGAAACTCTGCTTAACGCCACACATCCCTCCTTGAGCACTTTCCTACATACGCTGTTACTTATAGCCTGTAAGTAAAACGTAGTAAAAAAAATAAAGGACACATGTTTACGCGTTTAGGTGTATAGAACATATAGAGCTAGACCTAAATATTATAGACCAATCGGCACAAGATGGCGATGTGGTCAGCAACACGCTGACCGCTTTTACTTCCCAGGACTGCACCCAGTGCCTAATCAAGGCTCGGTTGACCTCAGAGCCAAGATCATTAAAAAACATTCCGGCTACACCAGGGAGCGAACCACCGACCTTCCGATCCGCAGGCAAGCGTCTAGCCGTTCTTCTCTCCAGGGATATCTTTAGTAAAATCCCATATGGTCTTCTGCTAACTGTAGTTCTCCTACTGGTATCAGCCTGGTTCCATTATCTTGGTATACGTTTTTTCGAACATGACTTAAAAGAGAGGTGCCTCGGCATTGACTGCATTCTCGCTTGCTTCCTTTCCTCTTTCAAAATGATATAACTGCAGCGTATAACCCGTCATTGGGAGAAGTTATTTATGATGTAATTGTCGTGAATCGCATTTGATTATTAAGCATTTGCATAGCCCTAGTTGAAGGGTTAGGGTGGAAGGTAAGCTTTAATATAACATTAACAAAGGATTACAAGTCTGTCCAGGTGTGCGTTTTTACTAGAGAATGTAAGTACGGGGCTCTTAGAAGGATATGTGGCGCATACAGCACATAATACTAGACAGATTTGGATTGATCAATCTCCACTTAATGGTCAGTGTCACGCCTGTCGCCTTTACTTCGAATGACATTACCTGAAACTAATAGTTGACTTGGTCAACCTGAAAGCCAGTGTAAATTTTGAAGGGAATAATAATCTGATTCGATGCATGTATGACCTCAAATCCTTAGGCCCGGCAAAGAAGACTAGGCTACTGTAGCTCCGAACTAGAAAATATTTTGGCAAGTGAAAATCGCGGGTTTTAACTGGCAGTTGATGTGTTATAACGTGTGGTCCGGTATATCTTAGTGTTGTCCCAATCAAAGATATGGAGTCATACATCATTTCAGACAGTAAGTGAAAATAAAGATAGCGATTTCATTGAGATATTTGTAACTAAAAAAAAACGAATAAAGATCCCTTATCACGCATTTAAGCGCATAGGGCATATGGGAAGAGCTCCCATATTTTAGGCTGGGTCAACCTGCGACACCCCATACCATGATACAAATCCACGCAGCCAGCAGTGGGTTTGATCGTGGTACGTTGGAAATACGAGTCCGACTCGCCACTCCTAAGCGGGGTATTTGTATAAGAATTAAAAAGGCGAGAGGGGTTTTATTATCACTAAGAAATATGCGGAAATCAAAGGAAATAAAAAAAAAAATACTAAAGTCGTATTTAACTCTAATGTTAAATCATTACGTCTGCCTGGAGCGGAAACACCAAGAGGATTAAAAACAGTTCTTAATCAGCTACAGCCTTTCACTAAATGCTGATTCCGCAGAATAGATGGGATTAAAGGGTTCAAAATAATCGCAGATGTTAAGCTCTGAAGCTGATGTTGGGAAGTAGTGACGCTGGGAAAACATCAGAGCAATGACACTAGAAAATCTTTACACTAGAACCAAAATTGGCTCCATGGATTTGTTTCACAGTATGGGACCAGGTCCTCTGTGGCTAAGTCCATGCGAACGCTTCGTGATGCCGGGGTACCGGGTTCGATCACAGCGTCTTGCGTTGGTTTCGACAGTGGGATCAGTGAGCCGACCGTACAGAGGGCAATGGCAAACAACTGGACGTAAATTTGCCTAGAGAAACCACACAGCCAGGGGCTGCAGGGGGTTGGTTCTGCAACGTCCTGTAAAGGATACGCAACTAACTTATGGGGCCAGGTCGACCCAGCCTTAAATGGGTACCAGGATAGCTGTCGTGGGGAAGTAAAGACGGCCGACGTAAGCTGACCACATTACCTACCTAGTGCCAATTGTCTGTAAAAATATGGGCTCTCTTCCCATACACCGAAAGCGTGAATAGGGATCCTATCTTTACTTTAACAAAAATAAATACAGACCAAGACACACACGGCTAGTGAATCTAGAGAGTGAGGTCATAAACGTATACAGGACACGGGGTGAGCTGTTTCTGCATTGTTTGCATGGTCGGTCTCTGTTTTTCTTCGCTTCCAGTCCCCACATCCTTGCTTGCTGTGACATAATGTTTGTTGACATCTATGTTATATGAATAAACAGTTTCACCTTTTATCTTCTAAAGAAATTCAGTTTCCGAAGCAGTGTGTTACCACTAAATCAGTGCAGCAGAATCAGTAATACACCCTAATGTTTATCTCCTAAGCCCGTAAGAAAATCGTCGTGTATAACTCTATAAGTAAAAGTAAAAAAAAAGTAAAGATCCCTTTACACGCCCTTAGGTGCATCGGGCATATGGGAAGAGCACCCATATTTTTACAGACCAATCGGCACTCGGTGGGTAATGTGGTCAGCATTACGCCGGCCGTCTTTACTTTCCCAGGACAGCCCATCCTGGTACCCATTTGAGGTTGGGTCGATAACTCTATAGGTTAGTTGCGTATTCTTTACAGGACGTTGCAGACCAACCCCAACAGCCCCTGGCTGTTGTGTGGTTTTTCTAGGCACATTTACGTCCATTAGTTTGCCATTGCCACTGGACGGTCGGCTATCTTGATACCACTGTCGAAACCAACGCAAGGCGCATGGCCCGCAGATATGATCGAACCCGGCATCCCGGCATTACAAAGCGTTTGCATCGACTTAGCCACAGAGCCGACCGATAACTCTATAGTATAGTGTTAACTATGTCTGTTCTTGCAGTAATACAATACTTGACTGCATACGAAAAGCTACGTTTTGATGCTGGTTTTGATATGTGGCAGTAGAAACAGTATTGTCCACACATCAATGAAAATGATTGGAGTTGTGTTAAAAACCGACATCGCCTAATTCATAACATTCCTACACTAATGAATCTGAGACGAATGCAGTGAGAACGCATACCTGCTTAGCGCTCAATTGTCAGGGGAATATTCAAACGTTTATTTTTTTTCTTTTTCTATTTGTTTTCTTATATATGTAAAGGCATTGTACACTATGCAACGATTTGTATTTTGTGAAAATGAATATTCATTTTCCTGTTGCAAAGTAGACTTTTTAAAGACAGTTAGAAACATTTTATATTTAAATACACATTTAGTGCAGTATGATTTTGCCAGAAACGTCTGTGTCTAATGAGTCAACAACAAACAATAATTATTTTCTTGATAACACTGCAGACTTATTTAGCCCATTTGCGATGAAAATTTTCCAGTGGATTATTTTAGCTGTAGTTTGCCAAGCAATCGCCATTGCTGGTGTGTGTACCAACATCGTCAACATTATCTGCTTCGTTAAACAAGGATTCAAGGACCCAGTCAACGTGAGTCTTCTAGGTAAAGTCATCAGTTCTAATAAACCCGTCAGACCCCGCGCTGCAGCCTTCGGCCAGCGTAAAGAGTTTGGCATGTCGATGTTTTATTTCCACGGGCGATTTTTGTTGTTGTTTTGTTTTTTGTGAGGTTGTGGGGGAGTGATTGTGTTGTTGTTGTGGTTGTTGTCATTTTTGATTAGTTGCAGTAACATTAATAATAGGCAATATAATTAGTTTAAGATGCATCCACCTTTTTCTTCTAAGAGTTGAACTAAATATGATGTGAGCTTAAATTGTCATGCTCAGTGACTTCACAACCTATTAAACAGAGCCTGCTGTATGAGTCGTGGATAAAAGAAAATCACCTGTACAAGCTTGAAAAGTACTGGTAGCTCGTGTCCGGTCTGAGGAGAGACGAAGAGCAATCATTTAAAATCATCGCCGTCGAGTTAGGCGCAAGAGGTCTTATCTCCAATTTTACATACAATGAGCTAAAGCAGCTGGGCTTGCGAGGAAACAGCGTACACAGTCTCTGAAACAACTGGGTGAAGTTGCTGAAAGGGCTGGCTCTGAACGCAACGAAACGTCGTAGGGGACGGGCCTCTGTAGCTGGTCTGAGTCCCCAGTTTAGAGGAGCTTCTTTTTCTTTAAAAGCCGATGAGTCCGATAAATGTGTGTTAGTGTCTCTGTGCCAGTTGCCAAAGTCTAACATCTGTCCGTTGAACAAACCGTAGGCTTGTCACTCTGGTCGTGAAGGTAGGCAGCCATTTTGCTACAACAGTTCGAAAAGAAACAAAAAAGAAAAGCTTGGTCCTTTTTTAACCGCCTGATGGCCTGTTTTTCCAAGCGACATATATGTATATATATATATATTCACCAATTCTTGCAGTACCTGTTGCAAAGTAACCTTTTCGTCTTGTCCCTGTTCGATTAAATACAGCAAAAGAACCGGGGTCTGGCTGTATGAACCAGGCCGGCCCGCCCTCTTACATTGACTAGGATATGGGACCGAAACTATAAGAGACGAGGGACCATCCTACTGATGATCGGTAGCTGCTCCTGCAGCGATTGCTCCCATGTGAAGTTTTTCTTATTGTTCTTATTGAACCCAGAAGTTTGAGAAAACTCTCTTCATTGCACTATGTTTTTATATAATAGGGTTCTGTCCTTCCCTGTCCTACCTCTCTCTCTCTCTATCTCTCTTTCTCTCTCTCTCTCTCTCTCTCTCTCTCTCTCGCGCGCTCTCTCTCTCTCTCTCTCTCTCTCTCTCTCTCTCTCTCTCTCTCTCTCTCTCTCTCTCCTCTCACTCACTTCTTTCAAAACATCTGAGTTGCTCTTTTGCTGTCAAAGGGATTTCAAGTATGCTTCTGTAAAACCACATCTCCAAGGCGTCGACATTTTGTTCGTCTTGTTTATTCAATATCCAGGATTTACAGGTGATTGTTGAAACTGGCTCTTTGAAGCAACGCGACAATTCTTTTTCTAACCTCCAATGACGTGGATTTATTGCACACAATGCTCTTCATTTCATAAAAGGCATTTTTGCAATCACCTATTCTGTTCTTTTTGTCTGTGATACATCTTCCTTTGGATGTGCCTAGATGCTTAAATGTAAGTACTTGTCCATTACTTCTGTCTTCGCAAAATTATTTGTTGCTACCACCACCTTATCTATCAACGCCTGGAGTTATTTCTGGCTTGTCGCTATCAAGACGGTGTCATCACCCTACCGCATGTTGTGTTACGATCACGAATCAAAATTACTGGTGCATCCATGATAGATCTCATTATCTATTCACCGCATAATGAAAACAAATCAAGTGATAGCACACACCCTAGGCGTATTAACAATAGACTTAGAAAAAAGCTATACATGTTTGCTAAGTTGGTTGGAACTGAAAAAAAATTAACCATACATTCAACCTCATAGTGTGCGTTTCGCTATCACATTTTAGTGACGGATGAAGAATAGGCCCACTCTCTCATTTTCCCTGCTTTAAAAAAAAACATGTTATAGAATGTGAATAAGTTAATGTCTAATGAAGTTTAAATTGAAATCACAGTAAAATGCACCAAGCGCCCAGTGAAGGTCAAAAGCATACGAGTTTGATCATTTAACCAAAAAGACTAATATGCGTGTAAATTCATTACAGGACTGGCTGTTTCAGATCTCTGCAGTCTTTTAACACTGTTGTGGACAAATTTATGTTACACGCCTGCGTTTGCAGAACTGGATTTGCCTTTCGAGGCCAGGGAGTTTCAGTACATTGTAAGTGCTTTACCACACACAACATTCACACGGATTACTGGCTGGATCACTGCCTTAATAACAATGGAGAGATGTTTGTGTGTAACAGCTCCTTTGAAGGTTGGTATTATCAGTAACATCAGACAGCGTCAGTGACGCTTGTACAGAGAAAACTTTGAGAGGGCGGGGTTGGGAAAGGGGCGGTTATGGGTTGGACTAAACACCCTAAAATGTGTTCTAGGGAAAAGGCCCTAACAAAAACATAAAAAAATGTCTATATAGTTTTAGAGGCTGCGGGATTTCTCAACGGGCTTTTTTATGATGTTGGGAATTCAATAGGCCTAAGCCCCTAGTTTCCAAAAGGGAAAGTAAACCACAATAATTAACGACGGATGTGACCGCATTTGTAAATAACTATAGAAGGTAGAACATGATTAGTGGTTAGTGTGGATTATCCCCATAGCGTTTGGGACAGCTCCACAGCTGCGCTGATCTCCTCCTGAAAAGGTCCACTTGCGTCAAAAGAATTATTAAGTTCTGTCCTGTACTGATTTATTAAACCTTTTTTACCTTTTGTGAAAGGATCCTTTCTTGCTGCCTCATATTTTATTTCCATATGCTTAGCCTCAAGGGAGATATAGATGTATGCCTCTTTGCCATATTCGTTTTCGTGGTAAGTGCTCTATATGGCAGTGGTAGCATCGCTTCTGTCCAGTACAGGACCAACCGTAGCAACGCAATGTTTGCAAAATAATCTGCAAGGTCGTTGCCTGGAACACCCGCCTTGCCTCGCACAGCCATGAAGGTTAGGCATTTGCGAAGTGCTTAGTTATGAACCAAAGCGGGATTTTATTAAGTATTCTTATTGATTCACTATATATAAACGGGTGTGTGAACTCTTTGAGAACCCAACCATGAAAATGACCTTGCTATTGTCACGGTTTCTATTGTAGGTAGCTAGTCGACCGTTATACCCCTTGAGCTCGATGTGAATGACTATAGAATTCCATTGTCCCGAATTACCAGTCCGTCTGATTAATAATCAGTGCGGACTATCCTCACATTGTCGGCCTTTGTGGCCTAATCGCTGTGAACGAGTTCCGTAATTCTGAGATGCCCGATACGATTCCAGCTGCAGACGATTTGGTAGAGGCAGCTTTGTGTTGCTTATTGCAGTGGTATAGAGAGCCTGCAGCGCAGAAAACAGTGACAAGTACTAAACTCTTGATTTCCTAGTAAAACTTAACAGTCAGCAAATGATGAGGTTGATACAGCAACGACCTAAAAAGTCTGCCCTAAATATATTTGACACACCATTAAGATTCATATCTGCTCTGAAATGCTAATTTCTGACAATTCCAGTTGAATATGTTTTTAAAAAATCCAAGCTGGATTTACCAGGCAAGCATAGAGTGAAACACTTAACGAATAGCTGCCCTAACCTTCATCTTTGTGCCAAGTCATGCGGATGTTCAAGGGAACGAGCGTAGAGACTATATTGCTGACACTGCAGTTGCTTTGGCTGGCCCAGTACTGGATAAAAATGATGTTATCAATGCTGTGCACTGCACTTACCGAACCGAGGAGTACGCCAAAGGACATGACTCCGTATCCCTCTCCAGACTGATGGGCATGGGGTTGCAGCCTGGATCTGCAAGAAATGAACATTTCACTAAGGGCACAAGACGTGTCATTAACCAACACAGAACAGGCGTCATCAGTCATTTCACACTTGTGGAGCTTTTGAGGAGATCGGAGCACGTATGGATCTGTCCGGAGTGCTGTGATGATAATCATTTCTAATCCCTAATCACTAGTTCCAGGTTTACTGCCATGTCCACCAGGCTAAACATTGATACCGAGTTTGGCAACTGGATATGTTTTACGGATTGCCCTTTGGTATCAGGGGAAAAAAAAGGAAAATACAGATGTCTAGGTTTGTAAGTAGAAAGTGATTGTCTGTTGCAATTAAGCTTATATGCTGTATATTAAAATGGAGGGTGAAAAACATGCATATAAGTATTTCATTTTTAAAAAACGCAGCACTCTAAATTGAGTTCATGAATACTGTCTGCTTTATACATATGAAAGTAAATCTGCAAGAAGAAAAAACATTTCTTTCTTGTTAAATTATTAGAAAAGTAAAGGCGATGTTAAAGGGAAAAACAATAACGTAGCCATTTTTTCACCCTGTCGCTTATATGGAATGAACACTAATAAAAAAAAAATCTTGATTATGTTTGTTCTTCTTTAGGTAAAAAGTATGATAACACCGAAAAGAATGTCAGTCATCATTGTCGTCATCTTTCTCGTTCTCATCTCCAGTGTGGCGCCGTTTTTTGTCGTCAACAGACTGGGAAGGAAGTTTTATCTATCAAGAAACAAGTCTCTCATTGGCTTGGTGTTTACTAAAGATCGCTTTGCCGTTGAAAGAGTAACTTTTGCTGTCAATAATGTTTTCATTCCAGCAAAATCCTTCGCTGTTATCATTATAAGCACAGCAATACTTGTGGTCAAGCTTCAGAGTCAAACCAAATGGCGCAATGAAACCACGACAGCTACCCAAGCAGATATCATTTCTATTCGTAACCAAAAAGTGTCCAAAATGGTTGTGGTCATTTCATTGCTCTTCATTGCTTGTTTCGTTCCTCTGATTATACATTTTGTTGCTCTGTCAGCTGACACACGATTTTCTATTACAGGGAAATACAGAAATGCATTGATTGTATTT